CTTGGTCGATTGAATGCTAAATCTTTTCCCTGGCTGACGCTGGCGAGAAGCATACAAATCGCCGCCAGGACAAAACTCCATGACCAGGCAAGAGTAATGAGAAGCCTCAAACTCAGCATATAAAGTGGGCAAAAACGGGTGATCAAGCATGCCCAGGATCTCCTTCTCCATCATAGCTCTCTGCAACTTGTTTCTCACAGAAAGCGCTTCTCTGTCGACCACTTTCATGGCGTAGAGACTCTGCTTCGACCCCGCAACGAGGGGGTTCCTAATCTGACAGAGGTAGACGTTGCCGATGTCGCCGCCGCCGAGTCGCCGGAGAAGGCGGAAGTGGTGGAGGCCTAGTTGGCCGTTACTGTCGCGGCGAAGGCGGGACATAGCCTCCCATGCTGCTTGGTTAGCCTTGTGAGGCTTCTTGGCGTGGGAACCGTGGAACAGAGAGGAAGTGGTGGTGTCTGTGGTGGTAGTGGAACAAACGGAGACGGAGCTGCTACGGCGGCGGCTGCTGAAGCTGAGGTTGGTCATCCAGCTCCGGCTGGATTCCGGCGGAGTGGTGAGAGAGGAACAGCTACTATCATAATCGCATTCGTCTCTGGCTATGGCCTTGGTGGTGGCCATTGGAGATTGTGGGCTTCGCAGCTGATGTGTATGAGGGCTTCGTCCATATATATGCGTCTGTATATATATTATATACAGTTTAAGGCTTTTGTGGGTGTAGAGACGAAGGGAGCACATGGAGCGTTGAAAGGTATGACGTGGGAGCAAAAATTTAACAATTTTTTTAAAAATTTTTTTACAAGCGGATATTTATTTAAAAGGTTAAGGGTATTTTCGCTTCTTTTTTACCTGGGGGATATTTTTGCTTTGAAACTATTCATGAAGAAGCTCTCAGTATCTTTTCCGATTTTTTGTGTATCAGTGTTGTCTTAAAAAATACTCCATTTCTAAATATAAAATCTTTATACACACTAGTATAAAAATTTTATATTTAGAACCGAAAGAATATTAAAAAATACGTAACGTAATTTTACCCATTCAAAAAATTAATGTTGACGGTTGACATTAGATATAAAATATTTTTGAGACAGAAACATTTTTAACTCTTATTTAGATATAATATATTTGGCTATTTGCATGATCAATGTCACCTAATCACGTAAAGTTGAAATAGTTTGTAATATAAATGGTAAGATATAGTTTGTAATATGAATTGTATTACAAACTATTACTATATTTTATAGTTAGAACTCGAGGTAGTACATAATACTACTTCTGATCCTAATTATAAGAGCTAGTTGACTAATTTGAAGAGATTAAGGAAATAAGTTGAGTTAGTTATTTGTCATAAATAGGTATTATCTTTCGTAAAATGTTCTTATTAATCAAGTGTATTGACTAGAACTATCATTGTTACAAGGGCTATTTTGAAAAAAAAATATATAAAATGAGAGACAAAGTGGATTGGAGTCCTATATTTAGAATCAAAATAAAAGTCAAACAGGATCTTATATTAAGGACCGGAAGTAGTAAGATTTTTTATGCAGGCACATACAAATATATTTTTGATATTTTATGAGTTGTTACTAATACTTACTTCTTGTATCAGAAACTGCATAAAATACTTGTTGGAGGAAAAAAGAAACTGTGTTTTTTGGCCTGGAAAAAAGAAACTGTATAAATCCTTGAAGAAATTTATTTGGTCAAAAGAAAAATAGAAGAAGCGTATGGTCTGTAAATGTTCAATGATTACACGAATACTGAATACGTAATTATAAAAAAGAAAAAAAAGAGAAAAACAATGATGGCAAAGACTAAAGACTCATACTTGAAGGAAGTCGTTGAATTCGAACCTTTACTTATGATAAGGGGGAAAACACTAGGGAAAAAAATGAATGTGAGATTATTAATATTTAATATAATAAATATAACATGATGTCCTTAAAATATTTCTATAATAATGTATTATATATATCAGTTTATAAGTTAAATTAATTGATTTGAAAGAAAAAATATAAGCAAGACAACTAAATGGCAAAACTCAGTTTGTAAATATGAAATTTTGGGGCCTATCTGTGTTTAATTTTTTTCTTTAGTCGAAGCTATGGATAATTTTCTCTAATTTGTATAGACAAGGGAACGTGCCACATCATAGACCAGCGAAGCAGAGCCATTGGTATTGAGGGAGAGGAATTAAAAAAGAGATTAGAGAATAATTAAGGAGAGGATTATGTGGATGGAAGGGAAGAGAGGATAGAAATGAATATATGTATAAGAAATAATAGGGCTGAAGGGAGAACAGAAAGGCATATGAAAACAGGAAGGAATGAATGGAGTGGTGGAAAGAGGGAATAAAAGAATTTTAAGGAATTGGGGGGAAGGGAAGGGAAGGGAGTATAATAAAATGAGACCACAAAAGTGGTCACAGTCCCACAACAAAGTCACTTTTGCTGGTCTTGTTCTCAAGCATGCTCCCCTTGCTGACGAACCCACTATCCCTTGTTCTCCCATTTTTAATCTAAACAAATCTCCCTAATATCATCCCTGTTTTATATACATCTTTTAATTTTATCATTGCAAGATTCTCTCAATTTGCTCCCAATAAATACACACACATGTACTGATATTGTGCGTTAGAAAAATTTTACTCTTGTATAACATATTAAACTCTAATTAATAAATTAGTAAGCCTGTTTATTGAGCAGTTTAATCACTCGTTCAGAATTGCGATAAGATTTTTGAAAAGAAGTTTTTCAATTATGATTTATAAAATTAGATAAGTATGTGTAGAAAATTTTGTCTCGACTTATGTAAAAATGTTTATAAACATTTATCACAAGTAGGTACAAATGGGTTGACTAAATTTTATATTGTAATTGCACAAACAATTGCTGCTACAATTGCAAATTCTTCTAAATGTATTCTTAAACTCCTATATTCGCAAGTATTTTAGATTAATTTTTCAGAGGATCTTCAATTATCATTATCATTATTTTATTTTTCTTACTATTTTGCTCAAGTTTAATTATTATTTTTAGTTGGTTATGAACATGGGACTTTTAATGTATTTCTTATTTTTATCAAAAGTAAAAATACTACTGTACAATTATACTTCTCCGATCCCTAATATAAGACCTATTTAACTAATTTGATTAGATTAAAGAAGTTAGGTAAGTTAATTAATTATACAAAATATGACATATTTTTTCTAAAATACTATAATCATATTTCTTAATATCATTCATCTCTCTTTTGTTTGATTACAGTTGAAAGAGTATCTATAAGAGTAATACAGGAAAAATTAATAAATATGAGAAAAAAGTCTTATATTTAAGATCAAAATTAACTTAAAAATTAGGTTTTATATTAAGTACCGGAAGAATATTTGTGTGTAAGAATCCGTGTGTGTTCACGATAGCAATTGGTTGATGAAAAAGGGCATCACACGTTAATTAAACCAAACTATTGTGGTCTGAATCACATGGGCATCATTCTCTCCACACAAACATTTTTTTCCCAATTTATGCGACAATAACGCCAAATTTATATTCGGAAAAATTGATTAAAATTATATGTTTGAAAATCTTATTAGTCAGAAAAACCTAAAACTTGGCATATGGAACTCATTTCCAGCTCATATAACTCTTCGCCTGCATGCAGTATGTCTTCAAATATATGACTTTTGTTTTGAACACTTCTAAACATAGTTAAAAATAAGTTGCACATCGTTAAAAAGAGCGCTGCACCCTTCGAAGACGAGACACACCAGACCCCATGGCTAAATATTCTTTCGGTTCTAAACGTAAGACATTTTATACATACTAATATAAGAGTTTTATATTTAGGATCGGAGGAGTAAATTTTTTTAAACCGATACTTGTAACCAAATTTTGTTTTATATTTTGTGATCTTGATATAAATAATAGGAAGGAAATTTGAAAACTTGTAGATGGCTAGGTGTGGTCAATTTTGAAGAACAGGGAGTTAATAATTTGAGGAAAAAAAGGTGTGGAATCACGAACAACCCGTGGACTACTTTAATTTCAGCACCTCACAATCGAAATCCAGCCTTTTTGTTGGAGGCTCTGTGTCTCTCATAATGAGAAATCCAGTGGCAGCGGAGTCTTATTTATGATTTTCTCGTTATGCATGTGAACCCAACCCCACTGGGCCGGGTCCGTGGATTGGGCCCATGCTTCCCCCCACCTCTTTCCCGCCTTACGCTTTTTTCTGGAGTAATTTATGCCTTTTTTTTTTTTGGCCAACGGAGTAATTTACGCCTTACACAATTACATCCTCACCCTTCCAATGATTTATCATTTCATTCTAGTTTTTTTTTTTATCAGGAATCTTTTCATTCTAGTTAGAGAGAGGTATTATAGGAGACATAGTTTTTATTTTAAATTATGTAATTATATGCAATTAAAATTGTTGTAATAAAAATTTTGTAGCCTTGACTTTATTACAACTTAAAAGTGGGGCCTATTTAGGGAGTGTGTTTTGATTTTAAGTGTAAGACTTTAATCTATTTTATCTCTTATATTTATGTTTTTTAAAACTAATTTATCCAATTTAAAAATTAATATATAATCTAAAATTACATAGAATTATTTGGAGGAGATTAGGTCTTTTTCTTACTGCCAACGGAAGGAGATAAGATTATTTGGTAGCAAAGGCGAAAACTTTTGCACTCTAAGAAAAGGAAAAATTCTTGATCAGATAAAAAAAAAAATCACTCTTTTACACTAAGGATTAAGGATTGGATGAGTAATTTCCAGTTCAGACTTGAAAATATTATTGAATCAGATCTTGTTTCCCATCAACTTAAGTCCAATCACTCACAGATGAATTAAAATGCATTTCTTATAGATTCGAATTTCTCGGCACCGATAAGCCATCAATTATCAACCAACACTGGCGATGTTCTTGTAATTTGATAGAAAAAGAACCACGTTTTATTGACTGATCTGGGGCTGAAAACAGAAAAGAAAGAACACCGCAAAGACTTCAAAGAAGAAAACTCAAGAATTATACCAGAAGGCTCATAAATCACCATTCACGTGTAAGGTTTAAAATACGCACAGAATCTCCTCTTTATTTTTAGAGACATACAAAAAACACATTGGAGACAGCCACAATCACTGGCATCTCAGTTTTGAAGTTGTACTACCAAGCGGTCCATACCCCATACAAATCTTTAGCTCCTACAGCAATATTAATAATGAATTTGCAGGAGGTGGATGAAATGAGAAGAGCAGATCGAGAGGGCCAAACAAATTCAACATATCGCAGCAGAAATTCCACTGCATCAATAATGTGCAGTGTCGACAGAACAAAACATGGCCAATCTGACAAACCCTGCAGGACAACGTATCAAACAACAAAGGGAACAAAAGTTAAATTGAACAAATTTGTGGAGCTTATATCAAATGAAAAGTTCACTTTATATAAAACTGGGAAGCATAAAATTCAGGGAAAATTGGACAAGTGCAGGAGAGCAGATCATCACGAGCGGCCCCTGTCTACTGGGTCCGAAGACACCTTTTTTGTTTCCATATTCCATATGTTCATGTTGTATGCTGGTTTCCATCACATCAATATCAAAAGAGACGTCACTTGGTAATTTTAGTCCACAGACAATCCAAATTAAAATTTCAGGATAGGCTCGAGATCGAGAAGTTGTGTTTTGTAAGCATATGCTCCATTGCTTCAGTCATTCATATTTATATGTATATAAGACCAAAACGAACTGACCTTAAATTTGCAAGACAACATCCACTTAACGTTTGAAAACAATAATTTAGAAAATCATGTGAGGATTGTCAAAAATTAGTGCAAACTTCTACTGCACGTGACTTTCATGCTTGGGGTTCCTTATTTATTTATTTATCTCATTTGTTTATTTAAGTTTTACTGAGTAAAAAAAAAAACGTGAGGCTTGTTCGCGTAAGTTTCTTATTTTCTAGCTTTATTAGTTTCTTTTTATTTAGCTATATTTTGAATAATGGGGATACTAGATATCTGGTAGTTAGAGAATTATGTGGGAGTGGGCTTGTTATTCATATTATAAAGATCTTGATGTAATCTTTGAAAAAGCAGAAAGTATTCTCCAAGATAATATCCAGTTTTATTATTTTATTTCCTCCTTCGTTTGTTTTAAGGATTTATTTAGTAGCATCCCAAGGAATTTTCTTTGCAGTTTGCAGACCAATTATGATTATAGATAGTTCCGCCTTAGAAAGTCAGAAAGCCTCCAGAGCAGCGAGTCAATGAGCCAAACCAGTCCTTAAAAGGGATTGTCAGTATTCCCTTCGATCAAACTTAAATGGATTACATCGAGGAGGCATACTCAGATTCAACATGTCATTAATATGACAGGGTATCTTAACCTTTAGGGAGGCAGAGAACAACAGATTTAAGAAAAAAAACTCAACAAGCACTGCATTGACCATGTTCAATTAAAGTCGGAGAGAAAGAGATTGGGATAGTGCTTATGAGCCATAATTCGAGGAAATTAATTACATCAATCCTAAACAGAAATACGTTCATTCATGACAGTAAAATAATACTACAGACAATAGTGTGGACATCTTCCTCCTTGAATTTATCTAACGTAAAGTACTTGGTGCATAATAAAGGTTGGGGCTTGGTGCTTCCTTAATCCTCAAACAGAAACATCGAAAATATCAAACCAAAGACTTCCTTGCGTAGGAATGACAGGCAAACAAGCAACTGAGTAGGGATAAACTTGGAAGTTAAAGGCAAGTCACTCACTTAAAGAATCATAGTCCACTGGAACATAAAAAATGCATATGCCTCCACAGATCAATCATAGCCCTTTCCCAGACAGTTTAGACAGCGTTGCACCCTGCAACACCATGTGTAAACATTGGAAAACAAAAGCACTCTAATAAACATAGGATGGGGCTGAATACATTAAACTTACTCTCAAATTCATCGACAGAAAGGACAGAAAGCATAGCTTTCAAGTTAACTATGAGGAAACCCGAAGCATTTTCAGTTTATATCCATAAATCAGTTATTAGAGAAAATGAGTCAAAGTCATGTCCTAAAGGAGTTAGCCAGCCATGAGGTCACTGATAATATTTAGATAAATTTTTATAACTCAGCATCCCACCTTTAAATCTTCCACAAGAAGAGGAAGAAAATTATATCACTCTCTATTGTTCTGATGAATTTGACACCAAATAACTGGATTGCCGAAAGTATTTTCGGTAATGAAATGATCTGTTACTTACCTTAAAGAACTCAGCAAGTATAGTGGGACAAGGAGGTAATTCTTTCCCCCGTATTCAAACATAGGAATAAGAAAATTTGCATATGATGGAGAAGAGCAAAAGAAAAGAGAATCAGGAAAGTAAAGAGCTAACCTATTTCCCTCGCAAGTAGGACAAAGGCAGGGATTAATGGCAATAGGATCATATAAAGGCGACCATTCTATGGTGGAATTTCCTTTGCACAACTTGCATATATAAAACCCCTTCCCTCTACAAGCCATGCATGGCAACGCAACCTTTTTCTGCACAAAACCCACATTAAAGTCTCATTTGTGAAGAGAACCGGAAAAAAAAATTCAAAATTCGAGGGGAAAAAAATAGAAAATCTCCGGAAAGACGAGAATTTTAACTAGTTCTTACCCGCTTTCTCTCAGATACAAGATGAAGGGTCTTGAGAGTAACAGTAGAAGCCAGGTTGAGAGTGAAAATCCCACCCAAGATGACTCCAGTTCCCATAGCCAACGTTAGCAATGACCTCGGATTCATATCGTGGAATATGTGCGCCTTCCAAATTCTTGCGTTCGGGAGCAATAGGGATTGACTTAACTCTCTTCTGATGGGCTAAATTTCAGGTGCCAGCTTAAAAGAAAACATAACTAAATCTAATTCAGCTCAATTTCTATCCTTTGTCACGCTTGTGTCTGGTTTTTGTTGCTCTGCCCAGTCTCTCTTGCCCTCTCTCGTCCTTCTCTTCGTCTGCTCTTGGCCACTCTCGTGCACGCCTTCAGTCTCTCTCCGCCGCAGTTTTGGTCCTGCGCCTCCACTGAGCACAAACGGGTCGTCACATTCAAGCTAAGTGGGTCCTTCTTTTCCCCTCTCCGCCTTCCATGTAAAAAAGCACAGCAGCTCAGACTCGTGAATTCATCCAAGACCTGCAATTCTGCACAACAGCTCCCTTTCTCGTACCTCATCCGCCATCATCATCCACAAGAACAAAACCACGAGAAAATTTTTTTCCCACTATTAAATTTAAATAATTAAATACAATCCAATCCATCCAAAATGCATCAATTTTTTTCATTCATCGGTGAAAAGAAGGACAGGCAAAAAATTGTCATTCCTTTTCTTGGGTTGTTACACAGTGGATTCAATTGGGCTCAGGATCTGGATTTCTCTTGTATTGGATCGGACATATATCCCTTGAGAAACTAAAACAACAAAGTGTTTTCGGGTCCAATAAATATTCATAACATAGGTGTGACGACAACAGGGGCTCAGTGGGTTGTTGGGCCTAAACTTAAGAGATATATTGTAGTCATGCAAGGTGGTCGGATTATATTCGAAATAGAAGCCATGTACCCCAATTGTATTGAGTTTCACGGTATTCGGCAACTCTTCATTGTATTCAGTTGGTTTCATGTTCTGAGTAACACTTCACGGACTTGAAAAGATAATATCATGACAGTACTGTAAAGTCAAATGTGGCTTGCAACGAAACAAAATCCTAGCTAAAGGTCGACTTGGTTGGTTGTTGTTTTTGTTCTGGAAGCTAAGAAAACAAAAAACGCAAAGGAGATGTTCTCTACTTCACAAAAAACGAATGCTGCTGCTTCCAGTGCCTCAAGTTGATTAAGGTATCATTGTCAATAATCCCACTGGCTTGAAGAATATGTACTATATTCAGAAGCCCCCAGGCTTTTCAAGTTTCAGTACTGGACTGAATTCCTTCCTGTACCATCCTTATTTTTTATTCATATATAGGACTCGGAGCTGATAGATATATACAGTCCTGATGTGAATTAGGGATTATGATTAAGTCTAATTGTAACAAAATTAGGATAAAACTATAGTAAGATTTTCATCAGGACTGGATATTATACGGCAGGGCCGGATATACTCGTACAGGAATAGACATAGGACGCCATGGCCAAATGATATAGCAAGCGAAGAATATTGGGTTCAGGGGTTTTTGGCACCAAATATGCCAACCATGAAGCAACATTGGATACAGTGTTTTAAGTGGGTTTTGGCTCGTGAAAATGATAGACAGAAAGCACGAGAGAAAGAAAGGAAAATGGGAAGAATATGAATAAGCCATGACTAATGATGATGATTCTCCAACGTCGTCAATATGCATGGGTTACGATCACTGTCATTCTGAATCCTCGAGGGTACCCACCCCGAGAGGAAGAATCTTCTTTGGCTGTCCACTATATATACATATATTAAGCCACAATTCCTTGAACGATTATTTCTGGCAAAGCTTAACGGGAGTAACGAATAACCAGATGAAGGCACTGGAACCCAAAGAGGAAGACTGGATAAAGGTGGTCGTTGATGGAAAGACCAACAGACCATCTGAACCAGGTTACGTTGTTGAAGCATTTATGCTTCCACTTACCTTGAAGCTGAATTATAGGCATGCCTCCAACGTGCTTGGGGCACTGGTGCTAGTAAATTAAAGTCATATATGCTTCTTAATCAGCCACTCCATGCAAGCTTCCAACCTTATCTCTGTGGATGTTTCGGAAATATGCAGTCCTACACTACAGGCTAGTCTCTTGTCACTGTAATCTTTTTGGCGATTACATGTTCATTCTTTACGATAAGCAAGTAATTAAAAGGAGTTTTTACTAGGAAAGCAGAGGTGCCCAGAGATCGTCTTCTACCCATCAACGGGGTACTTTTTGGGACCAATGCGTCTGAATTGATCGTATTTTGCTTTCATCTCTTATCAGATATATTACCTCCGGTTCTAATTACAGAAGCCAGCTGACTAATTTGAAGAGATTAAAAAAGTAAGTTGAGTTAGTTATTTGTCTTAAATAAGTGTTGTCTTTCTTAAAATATTCTTGTTAATCAAATATATTGATCAGAACTATCATTGTTAGAAGGACTATTTTGAAAAAAAATGTATAAATATGAGAGAAAAAGTTGATTGTGGTCTTATATTTAGAATCAAAATAAAAGTCAATTAGGGTCTTATATTAAGAATCGGAGGTAGTATATGATATAAAATCTAATTATCATATTTATTAATTTTTTTACTTTTATTGATACTCTCTCAATTACAATCAAGTAGGAGGGAAAGGTAGGGTATTAAGAAAGATAATTTTAGTATTTTAGAAAAATATATGTTATATTTTTTACAATTAACTAACTTACCTAACTTTTTAAATATAATTAAATCAGTTAAATAGCAATTCTATTAGGGAGTATATATATACATGGTCTTACACCATATCTAATAACACTTTGAATGTTTTTTTAATAAAAAATTTGAGGGTTACCGTCCGCTGGTGCAAGACGTTCAATATTTTCTACTAAAAGTAGTTTATGGTGAATAGTTAACATCATTAAAAAAAAAGGGAAATAGTTTCGGGAGACCAAGGCTAGCTGGGGCCCAAACAGGAGTCACGTGCGGAGCGAGGGAGGGTGGGGGTCAAATCATGCCTCAGACATAATAAAATCGGCGCCGACGTAAGATGCGATAATTCAAAATTAAAAACAGTTTAAATTTCGGGAAATTAATGAGGAGATGCTTCGAGCGAACCTCTGTCATCCACGTCAGCACACAGCCCTCGCCCATGATTCCTCTATTTCGGTATTTTCTCCTTTCCATTTCCACAAATTCACTTTCCTCCCACCTCTTCCTTTCTCTCTCTTCCCCGCAGAACTGGCTTCTTCAATCTCTTTCTTCTCTCTTCTCCCAGCTAAACCTATTTCCCTTCAGTCGATTCCTTCGCACCTACCAAGCCTCGTCTTCTAGAACCCCGAAGATTTGTCTTTTCAATCGGTGTTCGGTAATTAATCGAATCCCTAATTTTTTTCAATCGCCGATTTTGATCCCCAAGCGCGTTTCTTTTTGGATATTAATCGTTCGTGTTTCTTGTGTGTACGTATCGATCCGGCTTTATTGGGTTTCCGATGCAGTTTAATTCAGGCTCCAAACTCGCTTTCGGGTGAGGAAGTGGGTTCTGAAGATATTTATTTGCATTTTGTACCGGTCTGAGGGGGCTTGGCGTGTTTGTTCTGCTCGAAATGAATTTGTGACTTTGGCGTCGTGGTTGTGATTTTTCATGAGTTCTATTGTGGATATTATACTGGATGGTCGTTGTGGTTGTCGGCGCTCTCTATTTCTTGGACTGTGACAGGAGCCGGGTTGTGGTGGACTCAGCTTGAACTTTTAGTTGAGCACACAGCGTTCTTGCAATTGGATTTTATTTCAGAGCCATCAATTTAGAATGCTTCTCTGATACAAGCTAATTGCCACGCTTATATATTTAGGTCAATCAGTGATAACTTTGTTGGGGGTTCCCTTCTGTTCGGGGTCTCTCCTTTTTCGGGAGGATGGTGTTGCTCTTAGAGTTTAGAAGTAGTATAAGGTTCGAAAATGTTGCTAGTCTATTATTTGAAACTCTATAATGTATGATTACTCAGCCAAGTAGGGTCATTTGATAAAATTTTGCTATAAATTATAATAGTGAAATTTGTAGTTCTTGTTAATTTTGAATCCTGTTATGTCTGCAATCTTAATCGCTGATAATTGCTGTTTTCACTGTCTTTGTTGGTTCTTAGTATCATTCTGAAAGTACTGAATGTGCCATTCTGTTTGTAGTTGCATGATGTGATTTGATTGTTGTGTTTTCTAAACATGAGGACTTATCTGCACGGTTCCCCCTGTTTGTCAAGTATGATCGTTTGAGTGGCAGATTGTCCTTATTTCTTACGCCCTCATTCTTCTTCTTGGGGAGTAAGCTGGGGTCCTGCACACGTTTATCATGCTTGCAAACTAACAGAAACACAGGTGGATGAAATCCTGAAATGAAATTTGCACATTTTCGATGATTTAACATATCTCAAATACAATAATGCAGGATTTAGTGGAGTGCAAATATGAAAGATTGAAAATTGTGGCGCTGATGTATTACAACACCGAATGTAACTTACAATCATGTACGTTGATGATGCATTAATGAGAGCTGTAGGAAGGAGAAGGAAAAATGATATAACGTGTGACTGAGCTTAAGAAATTGTTCAAGCCTTGTAAGAGTTAAGCCTTAGATATCTCCAATTAGAAGAAGACTTTGAATACCTTCTTGTTATTAGTTTTTCTACATTTAGAAAACAATACTTGAAATGATGCGTTAGATATAGAGTCTGATATTTCAGCATGCCTAACTGAGGATGATACTGATAAGCTAAGGACCGTCTCGCAGTTTTGGAACTTTGAATTTTGATCTAGTCATGCCTTGAGACATGTTCAATGTCTTTTGTTTTTCCCCCCCTTCTTTTTAGCGCTTGGACATCTTAATCACCCATTATTTTGATCTAAACAATTCTAGAAATATGTGCCATGTGCTTTACTTCAGTTTTACCCAATTTTTCATGGATTGAATACTACTTTTGCTCAATTTCTCATATTGGTGCTATCTGTATGTAGTTTCAAAATCATTCTTAGCTCCACCTTGGTGTGTTTATTAAAACACTGAATATCCAGTATGGCAAAGGAGAGAAGAGATAGTTCTTTGGCACATGATAGTGGCAGAACATCAACTTATCCAAGCAGTTCTAGTCGTGTCAGAAGATCTACACCAAAAAATCCTATGGAATCTGAAGAAAATGCCAAAGAATGGGAAGAAGCCAGGTGTCCTGTCTGCATGGATCATCCTCACAATGCAATTCTCCTCATTTGCTCATCCCATGAGAAGGGATGCCGCCCTTACATGTGCAACACTAGCTATCGCCATTCAAATTGTCTCGATCAGTTCTGCAAGTCATTTGAAGAAACTTCACCAACAACTCCCCAGGTAGAGGTTCAGATCTCAAACCCTGAGGTGACTCGGACCACTGAAGCAAATCCTGTTGATATACAAGATGAAGGAAGTGAGGGATCTGTTACAATTCACTCTTTATCATGCGAAGATCATTCAAAAGCAAAGTTGGTATGTCCTCTTTGTCGGGGGCAAATAAAAGAAATGAAAGTTGTAGAGGCTGCTCGCCGTTTCATGAATGAAAAATCAAGAAGCTGTTCCTGTGAGACATGCAATTTTAGTGGCACATATGCAGACCTCAGGAAGCATGCAAGGCTTGAACATCCTCTCGTGCGGCCATCGGAGGTAGATCCAGAACGGCAGCGCAACTGGAGACGGTTAGAGAGACAGAGGGATCTTGGGGATCTACTTAGCACACTGCAATCTTCCTTTGGGGAAAATAACAGGGCTGACGATGGTCTCCTACCAATAGATGATGGTGGCTTGCTAGCTGTATTTTTTCTCATTCTTCAACCTTCATCTGTGAGGGGTTCCTCAGGAACCAGACTGCAAATGCGCATAAGAAGGAGATCTAGTAGGCATTGGGGAGAAACCTATGATGAGGGGCAATCTGGATCATCCTCTAGAGATGATGAAAACGAATCTTCAGATGGTGGGTCTGGTACTTGGAGGCGCCGAGTTCGGAGACGGATAACACCTGAGAATGAGCCATGAACTTCCAAATGCATCTAGTTGTTTACCTCGAATGTTCCCAAGTGGGCCTTTTTTTTTCCTTCCCTTTTTTTTCCTGCCTTTGGATAACCTTGTGATTTTTCAAGTGGTGATGAATCAGTAGTGGCTCTCTAAGTTGATTCTGTTTGTTACAGGTGGAACACAAGGAATGAAAGGGGAATTTTCGGATTATATCCTCCATTCTGCTCCATTTCCCGTGGGACAGTTTTTGGAGGTTCTTCTTGTTAAAAGAAATGGGAGAAAGTGTTATTCAACGAGGATTCCTCATACTGTATATTTAATTTAATATTTTTATTCCTCCACAATCAGTGCTGCGATTTCTCGGAGATTTAGAACAATGGATGTTGCAAAACTTGCAATAAAATCTACGCGCTTTATCTCGTTGCATTGGCAGAATTTGATCTGACGATTGAGTTCATTCCTCACGGTTAGCGGCGGAGGATTACTTAAAGCAAATGACTAGAATAAGAAGTAATGAGAGCGTAATTAGTAGTTACAGGTTTATATTTTGGTATATAATGCATTGATTGAACTTGACTCACTCGGGTGGACGGAACAAACGGATTTCTCCCCCCTCGGGGGGTTGGGGATGCGAATTTCGCTCGTACTCCCAAGTGTGTCGCGTGAGCTGTCAACTTGTGAACCGTCAATTTTTTAGCTCTTCCAATTTTTAATATAAATTTAATATGTTGATCTAAATTTTTTTTTTGATAAGACAAAACAAAACTAACTAAAAGTGGCGGCCTCTACGGTGTAATCCTTCAATACTAACTCACGCAACTCCTCAGTCATGAATGAGAACAAATGCAAACCAGGGGCGGTCCTTAGCGCCTTCTTGGCTAGATGGTCGGCTACCTCGTTAGTTGATCTCGGAATGAGACCCAGATCCACCTCCCAAGAGCGATCAACCAGAGAGCGAGCTTCAGAAATCAACTGGAGAAGATGATGGTCCTTATCTGCAGAATGATACAACAAGCGAATCACTTCAGAGGCATCAGTTTCGACGATAACCTTCCTAAAACCCGTCCCACGTCATTTTCAGGCCACACACCAGTGCCCACAGCTCGGCAGCCAGGCTATCACCGTCGTTAGGATGGAACATAAAGCCGCTGATGAAGGAACCCACATGATCCTGCAAAATCCCTCCACAGCCGGCTCCATGCAGCGTGGAGAAGGCACCATCCACATTCAGTTTAACCCAGCCTGGTGGAGGGGGGGAACCATTTAATACCCTGTACCGTGACACGGTGACCATTGAGATTACTGCCTCTGAGTTTAGTTGCAGCCTGTTTCAGGTTTGAGAGGATGTGCCTTGCCTTGGCTATTAGCATTGCATTCGGGGTCCACTTGCCATCGAAAATTCTCTCGTTCCTACGTGACCAAAGGAGCCAGCAAATAGTGGCAAAAAACTCACTCCAACCGTCGCGAAGGAGCCCCCGGGGTTCCGTATATTGAATTGTAGCCAATCCGTTAACTCGAGGGAGAAGAACCTGTCCAACAAGCGGTATTTGACCATGGAAGACCAAAGGCATCTAGTGTCGTCACAGTCCTGAAGAACATGAAGTAAACTCTCGCAATGGGAGCCGCACCACGTGTAGATTGGGGTCGTCACCATACCTCTTTCCGCTTGAGCTTGATTCGTCAAAAGTTTATTGTGGAGGGAAAGCCACATGAATGTCTTGCACCGTTGAAGGACTTGGAGTTTCCAAATTTTACTCCATATCGGGTTCGGAACCTGCTGGTCCTGTGTAATGAGAGAATAAGCTGACTTAATAGAAAAGACACCGTTCCTGTCGTATCGCCATCGTGCTTCAATATTGCCCTGAGTTGTCTGAACCCCCTCCTGAACATATTTCCAAGCGTCTTTAATGCCTTTCCAGATGTTCGAACCAGGTCTTTCGTGATCTATAGTGGGTATCAAATCAGACCCACATCTATATTTGGTTCTAATTACCTTAACCCAAAGAGCATCCCGACGATTGATGAGGTTCCAACCCAGTTTAGCCATGTAGGCTTGGTTCTGGTGGCGTAAATGCTTAAGCCTGAGACCTCCATTCTTCTTCGGAGTGCAAACCTTATCCCAGGCTACCAGATGCGGTTTCCTGTGACCTTTGGAGGACCCCCATATGAAACACCTATTATGTTTCTCCGCCGCTTCGCACGTGGTTATAGGCAGGGAGGCAGTTTGCATCGAGTACTCTGGAATAGCTGACGTTACGGAAGATGCCAGAGTGATCCTGCCTGCTAAAGAAAGAGAGTTAGCCTTCCAGTTGGACAGTCTCTGTTTCACCTTGTCTACCACCTCTTGATAACTGCTTTTAGAGACTCTTCTATGATGGAGTGGGGCTCCCAAATACTTGCCGAGATTTGCCGCAAGTTGAAAACCGAGGATGTTGCTAACTTCGGACCTCCGGGTATGGTTCACATTCCTGGAGAAAGAGACTCGGGTTTTACGCACGTTAACTTTCAGACCTGAGCGGCTACAGAACTCTTCGAGGCAAGAGTGAATGACCGCTGGTTGATGAATGGACACTTCTGAAAACAAGATAATATCATCAGCAAAAAATAGGTGAGAAAGAGGAGGGCCTTGCTTACACAGTGAGATTGGGGTCCATTTGTTCTTATTCACTCTCTCCTGAATCATATGGGCTAGTTTCTCCATGCATATCACAAAGAGATATGGGGAGATAGGATCCCCTTGCCGGAGCCCTCTGGTGGGTTTGAATTCTTCCGTCTTTTCCCCATTCCAAAGAAGTTGCATTTTAGCTGACGATATGCAATGGGATATGATCTGGGTAACATGAGTAGGAATTTGCATCTCATTGAGACAGTTAATGAGGAAATTCCAGTTCACTCTGTCATAAGCTTTCTCAAGGTTGATTTTAATAGCCATGAATCCTTTATATCCCTGTTTGATTCGCATGGAGTGCACCACTTCCTGGGCCACAATAATGTTATCCGAGCTATGACGACTAGGAATGAAACTGCACTGAGTGGGACTAATCATATAAGACAAGCAAGGCTTGAGTCGATTGGCTATGATTTTAGTGATAATTTTAAAGATGACGTTGCACAGCCCAATAGGTCGGAGGTCTCTCAACGTTTCTGGGTGATCAACTTTCGGAATGAGTACGAGATAAGTATCATTAATATCAGCAATACCATCCGGATTTCTCCACACGTGTTTGATAAAAGAACAGATAGAAGCTCCCACATGGTCCCATTGGCTCTGGTAGAATAGAGGATTGAGCCCGTCCGGTCCCAGTGCTTTGAGCGCCCCCATGGAAAATAAAGCTTCCTTGATTTTAATGTCTCCCACTTCTCTTACCATTCTAGTCTGATCCTCCTCCTTCAAGGGTGGATAAGTAATTGAGCAAGCAATAGGCTCTCTAGCGGGTTGGTCTTCCGTGAACAGATGAGAGAAGAAAGCGGTGGCCATTGACTTTATACTTTCAGCATTATAAACCCAATCACCAAGTTCATTCTTGATTGCCCCAATGAAATTACGCTTGCGCCTGTTATTTGCTCGGTTGTGATAGTACTTAGTATTTTTATCTCCATAGATCTGCCAATCACTCCTAGCTTTCTGAGCCCAGATGAGTGATTCTTGTAGAAGTACTTCGTCTAGCTCCTTTCCCAGTTGGCGTTGGAGATCAAGGAGCTTCGGGGAAAGACTGACTCTAGCTTCCACTCTGGAGATACCTTCCAGTCTATGGAGTAAGGTTTTCTTTCGAGAATTTGTATGCCCAAAGACCTCTTTATTCCATGTTGTACAGGCGCTCGTGAATTGATGGATATTCTCAGTCCACGGAACCTGACTCTTCCAGTTACCCCTGACAAATTTTTTAAAATCCTCATGAAGCGCCCAGGATGCAATAAAGCAAAAGGGTCTATTCCCATGCTGTCGAACACCAGCTCTGTGAAGCTTTAAGAGGAGAGGTCGGTGATCAGACTTAAAGAAAGGGAGATGAGTAACCGAGGCATCCCTAAAGACATCTAGCCACTCAGGGTTGCTCAAGACTCTGTCAATCCGAATCTCTGAGGTGTTGCGTTTCCAGGTAAACTGTGGACCTAGAAAACCCATATCACTGAGATTTGAGTCTAAGACAAAAGAGTTAAAATCGCGATCTATAGCCCCAGTGGGAGAGCGCTCCCAGGCTGAAATAGTAGCGTTAAAATCCCCTACAATGCACCAAGGTCCATTTACATGGCGCTGTAGAGCTAGGAGCTCCCTCCATAGCGGCCGACGTTTCGCCACTACTGGGCTCGCGTACACTACCGTAAACCACCATACTTGGTCCGCATAAGTTTCAATTTTCAAATGAATGAATTGAGGACTCTTTGAAACGCACTCCACACACCGAATCTTATAGGACCATAAGCACCAAATTCCGTCGCTGAAACCTTCCACGTCCACAATCTCAGAAAACTGAAAACCCAACTTCTTGCTGATATCAATAGCTTTGGCCCCGCTGCAACGAGTTTCTAGTATGGCCACAAAATCCAAGCTGTAGAAGGAGGTCAATTCCCGAACGAGTTGAGGAAAGGAACGTGAGCATGTCCCTCTAGAGTTCCAGATTAAGCAATTCATGAGGAAACTGGTACAGAGTTTTGGAAGGAGACTCCTGTCGGAGTAATAACCTGGGTATCATTCTCACTGGTCTGTCGTACCTGTTGTTGGACCCCCCCGACGTCAAGTTTAGAAGCTTGGACATGCGAGTTCGCCTCAATGATCATTCCAGCATTGCTGCTGGTATTAGTCTGTCCCTCCTGTGTCCCACCGTCGAGGATGTAGAAAGGATTGGAGAGAATGAGTTTCCCACGTGCTTCACTTTTACCTAGATCACGTTTGCCTTTTGATCGACCCAACAGTTTAACCCCTAGAATATTCTCCTTTCCTTTAAGCTTACGTGAACCAGGTAGTTTCTTTTTTGAACCAGCTGGGACCCAGTCACTCTCATGATTATTATGGACTTGTATGTCATTTCCGAATACACGTACGTCCTTTGCCAAGTTAACTACCGCCTCCCCGTTATCCACACCCTGAATCTCATCAACTTGAATGTCAAGGATCTCGGAATCTTTGGTACGGGCTTCCTTGGCTTGCCACTGCTTTTTCGGGATCTGATTAGATTGTACCTGCACCTTTTGCGGCACTGTAACAGCTGCTGGCTGAGCTAGCGTTTTCTTCGCCACCAATTCTGTCTGGGATTTATCCGTATCATGAGTCGCAGGTCTCGTGCGGAACCTACGTTTGACAATCATGTGGGGACCGAAAATATTGCTATCAACATTAACAGTTGTTGTCCCCGCCGTCGGCTTCTCGATGGAGATCGGAGAACCGACGTTGGATTCCGAAGGCAAGCAATGTGCATTGGACGAGCTAC